TAGAGGTACTTCCCCGCCCAGGAGGGGGTTATGGGGGTACTGGGGAAGGGCAGAAAGGGGGGTGATGGCCCCCCATAATACAGGGTATTGGGGGAAGCTCCCCAAAATGTATGTGGGGGGTGATAGAGGTATGTGGGGGAGGGACTTGCAGGAGCTGTGATTTGGGGGCCTGCTGGTGCCCAACAGAGGCTGATAGGGATATATATCTGTGAGGGGGGAACCCAGCACCTGGGTGCAGGCCCAAGATGCAGCCAACTCTGGGGTGCATCAGGGATGTATCCGCTCTGTATAAAACTATGGAGAGAACTGGCCTAGGAGCAAGATGAAGCCATCTCGGGGGGAGAATGGTGGCATGTAACAGCCAGGAGAGGGCTCCTCTCAGGGCAGGAGGCAGCCAGCTCTGGGGTGGAACAGGGAAGAAACAGCTGCATATAACACTATGGAGAGGACTGGCATAGCACCTGCCATGATGCAGCCAGCACTGGGTGGAACGGTGACATATAACACCTCCTCGAGCAGTGCTGAGATGCAGCCAGCTCTGGGGTGGAGCAGTGCCATATCAGCTGTGTATAACACAGGATGGAGAGGACAGGCCTGGGACCACGGTGCAGCCAGCTCTGGGGTGGAACAAAGCATATAACACCCCTGTCTCACCCCACAGCCTCCCTCCCCTTCCAGGGAACGCAGGCAGCCCGGCTCCCTTCCCCCAGGCCTGTGGATCCTGTCTAATCTGTGTCCTGAGGCGGGGCTTAATTGGCTCCCAGGCCTGCGGCCGGCCCGGAGGAGCTGGGCCCTTCTGTGGAACCGGCCCCACAGGCTGCAAGCTGGGACACCTGGGGTCCTGGGGGCGGGGGTCATCCTGGGGGTCCTGGCAGCAAGGGAAGGCCCTGAGCCCTGCCCCGCTCCCCCAGGCTGCCCCTGCCTTCATCCAGAAGGGGACACTGAGGCACAGGGGTGAAGTATGGGGCAAGGCAGGCCCCGAGGAGGGACGCCCTTCTGTGGAACCGGCCCCACAGGCTGCAAGCTGGGACACCTGGGGTCCTGGGGGCGGGGGTCATCCTGGGGGTCCTGGCAGCAAGGGAAGGCCCTGAGCCCTGCCCCGCTCCCCCAGGCTGCCCCTGCCTTCATCCAGAAGGGGACACTGAGGCACAGGGGTGAAGTATGGGGCAAGGCAGGCCCCGAGGAGGGACCCCAGGCATCCGGGCTTTGCTGCCATTTCCTCTCTTTATTTGTTAATCGAATAGGTTTAAAAA